ATCACATTGAAATGACCAGAGGTACCTATAACGAGGCGAAGTTAAACTGGGGTTTGAAATTGGTGGGGTGAATTCCATTTTTGGTTCCCACATCACCTAGCACAGATATTTGTGTTGGGGATTTTTTTCTTGAATGATTGGTTTGGGAAAATAGGCCTGTCTACCTATATCCGGTCGGCTAGACAGTCTCGAGAATTTTATATAGAAGTACTCTTCCTGGGGTCAAAATGGGCAAGAGTCCCTCAGAGAAGCAGCTTCTCCTTTCAATCCCCAAAGCAATAGGCAAGAAAAGAGAAGAGGTTTGCAAATCACTGTAAAAGAACTTTGTGCCACAGATAAAAATTATCCTGACCTTTCTTTGAGCAATGGTGAAATGGGTGTTCACCATGAGAGGTCATTAGGCAATCACATACAGACATGCAGAGAATATTGGCTCAATGCTTTTATTAGCAAAAAATTCCTACTGTCTGCTTCACTAAACTTTTACCTTTCATGTACTCCGCAGTGCTGCTTTGGTATTCACGATGAAGAGATGTGTAATGTCTCAGGTCCCTGAATACTCCCCAGGAGGAGCAGGCAGGTTTAAAGCTTGGCTTCTAGATCTGACAATGCTTTTCTTTTTGCTCACCTACTCCTCAGACCATCATCTCAGAGCGGTCACAGTCAAAGGGCTGTCCTGCTGTGCACAGAGAAAGAGGAGAAAATAGTCATGTTACTGACTGAAGGGTATCTCCTCCCTCTTGTTTAACAATGTGTTATTCCCAAACAAACCTGCTTTCCTGAACAACATCTGAAGAAAAGACAGACAAGATCACAAGAAGTTTATATCTTTTCCACATTCAGCTGTAGGATATGTAGATCAGTGAGACACAAAGCTCCGCAGGAGTCAACAGTTGCAGGCAGGGCTGCAAATGCTAACAGGTCAGAGTCTTTCTGCAGCTGGGAGCAGTGGGTGTAGGGGAGGGAATCTCCTTCAGCTGCTGAGGAACAGGCACATTTTCTACTTGATTGCAGCCCTGCATGTTCCTTTGGCTTAAAGCAGGAATTGCTTTGTTCCTTCCCTATGTGTCATCCCTATGCCTGTCAAGGCACAGGTTTGCATGAGGCCTGGTATAAACCAGGTTTAAATGATCATCCTGTGGAATTACAGATATAAAATTTAATGTGGTATTTTTACCTTCAGTCCTTGCAGTTACTGGAGTGCAGGTTAAAAGCTGCATTTATTGCAGACATTGACTTTTATTAAGAATGGATCTTTGCAGTCCATCAAAAACACTCAGCTTGGGAGGAAATGCACCGTAGCTCCCTCTGCTCTCAGCTGTAGCCTCCAGCGTGGCAATCTGTGTCGCTAATTGTACAGCGTACACACCAACACATGGTGCAAGGTGTGCATGGTGCAAAGCCTCCTGGGCCGCTAGAAACATCCTGCAGCTCACCAGTGTTGGCCTAGGGAATGTGTTCTCCCCGCCCCTGGCACCCCACAGGGTGGGCTGCTGTGCATAGCGTGCTCCTCAGAATCCTCTGAAGTCACAGCCGAATCTCTGCTGCCAGAGGGGATGAGACTTCATCCTCCCTGCAGTGCTTGTCCAGGTGTTGAGGTGGGGAGAGGTGTTCCCCTGCTGCCTCCTCCCTGGGATCTGATGGGGCAATGTGGAAGGCAGGGTAAGAAATTGTATTTCCAAATGGGTGTGTTTGAGAGACAAGTCAGGAGAGGTTACCCTGTGCCTAGCCCTGCATTAAGGGATGAGAAGCCATAAATGTAGTTTCCTGCTGTTATTTTTAAACTAAGAATACAAAAGTGAGAGACCCAGGTCAGAGTGAAGCTGCACCATCCTTGGCCATCCAAAGCTAGTGCCTTTGGAAAAGTGCAAGGACAGGGCAAACATATACTGATTTTCCTCCCATAGCACTCTCCCGAGCTATTTGTACTACAGTGATTTCCTGAGCTGAGGCATGCCTTTGTTAGTAGCCTGTAATTTGCTTCCTTGAATTTGCCCTTAAATTTCATGAAACTCTCATAACTTGCCTTGAACCTACCAAGCTTTCCAGCAGTGAGCTGTGGGTCAAGCCCAGGCGGTGGCAGCAGTCAGAGCTGCCCTAGGAAAGTCATTCCAAGGTAACACCCTGACTTTGTTGGGGGGCAGTCAGACAAGCCTCCGTGTCCCTCTGACCTCTCTGGCCAACCTGCAATTTGACTGCCTGTTTTTCCAGCCTGCCCAAGACCTTCCTTCTGGCTGTCAGGGAAGGTCGTGCTGTGACCCCTCACTGTCAGGCAGAAGCAGTTTCTGTGTGTCTGCTGCCCTTCCCTGCTGCTGGGGAGCACCTTTGCCTCGCAGGATCTGCAGCAGTGTGACAATAAATGCCACCAAAAGCACTCGCGTTTCCCTTAGCACACAAGAAAGGAGAATCAAGTCATGGTTGGGCTTGTAATAAAATGTAATTACAACAGCTTGTATGCTGAAGTTGACAATGTCTTTGCTGTATCAAATCAAATATGTTACGCTGAGATTCTTTTGTGCACAGTTCATTTGGGTCTTGTGTGTCAGCACATGTTGTGAGGAGCTCTAAGAGGTTTTGCCAAAGCAGTGTCACAAGTGTTGGGAGCGCAGAAACAGCACAAAAAACTGTGATTGTTAACATTTAGAGTGTTTCCATGTATTTAATACTTCACCAATTGCAAAAGAAAGCAACATTTCAGACAAAGAAGCGCCCTGGGTCAGTACCTCTTGTTTCGGGGGTTGATAACTCAGAGTTTCTGAGGTGCCATCAGCTACTTTTACCATCAGAGGAGAATATGATGCAGACAATGCAGTGTGGTGTTCTGTGCAGGTGCACAACCTCTCTCACAGCCCCAGGGCCACCAGTGGCCCCTTCTGCAGGAACCACTCCCTTCCTCAAGCAGGGAGCAAACCTGGCCTGGATCTGTCTTCCTCAGCCTCCGCCAAGCTCCTCTGCAAAGGTTTATCTTGCCAGGTTTTCTTTAAAGCACACCAAAATGCAGAGCCTGCAGCACTGGGCTTTCAGTATGTTTTGGTGCCAAATCCAGTGTAATTATTGCATTTCCTTTCCCTGCTGCACTCCCTGCCTACAGACAGCCTGTAATGTAAGATCCTGGGAATGTTTTGTTTTGGGAGGTGGAAGAGACACCAAGGGTGTCCGTCAGAAAGCACTGCAGGGAGGAAAATGAACACTGCTGGACACAGAAGGAAAGCAGTGATGTTCAGGGTAAATTGGGCCTTTCCATTCAACTCCTGCTGTGGCAAGCCTGATGATTCACTGCAAAGTTTGCTCTGTTCTGATGTTTGACATTCAGTATTTGCATAAGAGTTTTAGGCAGGTGGGGTTGAAGACTGGAAATGTTATAGCCAATCTGTAAGCCCCATCATATATAGTGGATCTATCTGAACAGAGCAGATACCCCTAGCATTATTGAAAACACACAGGATTTAACATATTGCAAATAAATGCATTTACTGGAGGGCAGGGCTGGGAGCCATCTATTTTTTTATCGTACAGGCAATTGTGTAAACTACAGACTGGATAATAAACCAGTGGGTTTCTTTTTGGTTAGTCACACTTACAGAGTTTTAACCAGGCATAACATACTTGCCTTTGAAACAAAGAAGCCCCCAGCTGCAGATACTTGTCACCAGAGACCTCTATCAAGTGGTATCCTTCCCACTATGTGAGTGAGAAATCCCAATTTCATTCCCAGCAACATCAGCTCTGATCACACTGGGTTCTGAAATTGTGAAATCTGAAGTGCTCTGAGAAATTTGTAGGTTTTATAGTTTATAGATTTTGTAAAAAATTGTAGTTGTTTGTAGTAATAAATGAACCTTTATTTGCTTTATGTAGAGGATGCTCTTGAACCACATCTTTAGGTTTTCTCTGAAGCTGAGAGAGCTATGAGCCTGCTCTGTGAAAAAATACAGAAAACAGGGAGTCCTCCATTATCACTTGCCTGAGGGAGCACAATTTTGACAACATTAGCCATTACAAGGCTTATGATAAAAGTATGAGAAGTGCTTAGACCTTTGTGTCTAGCAATATATGTAGGCAGGACTGGGACTACTGTTCTGTCCATATGCAGGAAATCAAATGCCTGGACAAAACATTTCTACAGCTGGTTGTTTTGTTTTTTTTTTAATTAACCTTTGCTTGTAGGTGACCCTTACTAGAAGCTGTGAAGCATGGTGTATATTCCCTTGGCATTGTGCATATGGTTGTATATTTCTTTTCTTTATTAAAATCTGGGCAGAGGAAAATGGACCAGACTCCACTCCATTCCCCCTGCTCAACTTCAGCAGCTGCATGGAGTTGTGGTGAAGTAACTGCATTAATGGAGTACATCCAGAAGTCCACTGCTAACATGCCTAGTAACAGATGTTATAAAACTGCAGAGAGGAAATGTTTGGCAATTACTCTATGGCTACCTTGTGCTGGCAGCCTCCCCACTCAGGAGTGCTGCAGATGAAGAGGGGGGAAGTCCATTTCAGTACTGGTAGTACTTCTGAGGTGAGGCAGGATTTGCAGAACCATGGAATCTGTGAAAAAAAATCAAGTTGGCAGGGATTTTAGGAGATCTACTCCAAAGCCCATCTGAAAGCAGGCACTGACTGATGGCTGCAAGCTCGAGCTTTCATCACACTTACCTGCAGGACACCGAGTCAAGGTAGCTGTTGTGGGATTCACCTATTGGATATCTGCAATAGAAGCCTCACCACCCAAGCAAGTCCCTCTCCAGCACTCATGATCTGGAGAGGGAAATGGGAAAGGTAAGTGTTATGTCCAGCTTTGGAGACTGGCTGTGGTCAGGTGAATCCCACTCAGGGTGAAAGATGCTCACTCAGGTGTGTTTCTTGCAGCTTTGTGATCAGTGGTAACAGGGAAAACGACAGCACTGAGCAATCTGCCTTTGGATTAAAAAGAGCTAAAATGAAAATTTAATAAAGAGTTGGTTTGCTTTTTTATTTTCTCTCCCTCGGGCAGATGAGCCACCCACCGTGCCTGGACCCCAGCCTGGCTGCTGGGGAGATGCAGTCCCCCAGGATGGCAGGGAAGAAGCGAGGGCGGCCCCCGCTCCAGCCAGCGCCCATCAAAATGTCTGTTCACAACCTCTTCTCGGCCCCAGCCGGTGCTCTGCCAGCCATGAAGATCCCAAAGAAGAGAGGCAGAAAACCTGGGCACAAGGTAGATACATGACTTTCACATTCCTTGTCCACCTCCTGTTGGTCTTTATGTATTTTCTTCTAGAAATTCAGCTAAAATGCAGGAATAGAGGAAAAGTTGTGCGGGCCTGGGGCAGAGCAAAGCAAAGAAAAAAAAAGAGAGAAGATGGTTTCTCTTCTACCTGAGCTGGTGAAAAAAATCACAGAATCATGGAGTATTCTAAGTTGAAGGGTACCCATCAGGATCATTGAGTCCATCTCCTAGTCCTGTGCAGGAAACCCCAAGAACCACACCATATATATTTTCTCAAAGGTTAAAGCTATTTTAATTTGGTCTGTTTGAAGATGTTTTCCACTGTGTTGTGTGGGATGGCTTGCACACCTGCGGGGAAGTGTTTCTCATTTGTCATTTTTTTCTCTCTCACAAACAGTGATTAGAAATTGAACAAACTGAACAGAGAAGGAAAGGAATACAGGAGAGCAGAAATAAAGAGAGGGGGGAAAAAAGCTACTGTCCAAAGGAAAAAAGAAAAAAGGGGCATCTGAGAAAAATAACTGGATTTCACTTTATTTGTCTGCTCACTGCCCAGCTCTCTGTTCAACCCTGGGGCAAAGGCAGAAGTAAAGAAAGACAAGAACCCTTAGTGCCTTAAGCCCTTCTGATGCTGCTGCTGGGCTGGGTCTCTCCCACCACACCACTTGCAGTGGGCTCAGCACCAGTGGGAGCAGTGCCACTGTGATGCCTCACACCCGGCAAAAATGGGACTGTGATGCTGAGGGAAGGAGAATTTGTTCAGGGGAGGAAATTGGGCTACAGTAAGGGGTCTTGTGTTCAGTGGATTCTCTCTTCATCTCTCAGCCTCTGTCTCTGGCCAGCTTGGGGCACTGTACATGTTTGCCACGCCTGTTCCTTGTTTTGGAAGAGACAATGCAGACTGTTACACAAGGAGGGAAAGTAGTTGACTGATTGAAAATCAGAGCTGCTTGAGTTTGTGGTGTCAAGACAGAAAAGTGAATAAAACAATTCACTGAAGCTGACACAGCCGTCCCTGGGGAAGGTCTTGTCCAGGGTGTTGCCTGGGTCTCCCATGGGTCTCTCCTGGTTCTTAGGAGGCAACAACATCCCATGCATGGTGCTGCTGGTTGAGCTCTGGACACAGGGACCAATTGTTTGGTTTCTGTGATCCTTGGATTTGAGCTTAATTTACAGCAGCCTCCCCTCATCTTTACCTTTCCCTCCTTTTCTCCTCCTGCCAGACCTTCTTCCTCCCATCCCCTTAACCTCTGTATAAGAGTAGGCCAAAGCAGAGCTCCAAGCTAAGACTGGGGCAAATATTCAAGTGTTTTGTAAAATACTTTTTTTTTTTTTACTTCCACATCAGGATAAAACTCCAGGATGGAAACATCTTTGATGAAACATATTTCAAGTTTTTTATTATATTTATTTATTTAAAGTAATTTAGTTATTATCAGTAAAGCTGGGTGACTTGTAGACTCTTCAGATCAAAACTATCCAGTCTGGACAATAATACTTTGGAGATGTGCTGAAATTGGGTCTTTGAGGCTTGAGATTGAGTGATTTTCCAAATGCCACAATGACCTTGTAGGGGACCCCTTGCAGGGTTTTTCAGCCCCCCATCCCTTCTGTCCCTGCTTGTCTTGGTGATGCCTATTTCCTGCTGATGTATGTACATTTGATTTGTAATTTGACAAGAAAAAAAAAAAAATAAATTGGGGGATATGTTCTGTTCTATCCTAAATGCACCCATCCACCTGGAAAAAAATCTTTCACCAACCACCACATATATATAAATGGGAGTAGTGGTAGATTTTAATTCCTGGAAATGCTTCAGTAACACTGTGCTTTGGACCTGCGTGGCCGAGCATTTGATTGCTGTGTCCCCCTCTTCTTCCAAAGGGACACTTTATCCCTGGCTGGGTACCACAAACTCCTCCTCTTTGTCCCCAGGCACTTAGCGAGGAGGCAACAGCGTCCCTCCTTTGGCAATGGATCTGAGATGAGGTTCTTTCTTGGCGAGTGCGGCACATAGAAAGACATCATCCTTTTATAACCAGTGGCTTAGGTGGATGGAGCTGACACTTGTGAGCTGCAGCACCTGTGGCATGTGGCCTGGGGCTGCTGGTTTGTGTTGTAGGATTCATACACCAAAGCAATGTTTTCCGCGAGGTGCCTTCATATGCTGCGTGGTCAGCTGAAGTGAACCCCTCTCCATCCATCCATCCATCCATCCATCCATCCATCCATCCATCCATCCATCCATCCATCCATCCATCCATCCTTCCATCCATCCATCCATCCATCCATCCATCCATCCATCCATCCATCCATCCAAAGCACTTCCCCAGCGTGAGTCAAGGATTACATTTTTTGATGGGGAACTCTAGCTTGATTTAATTAGCTCGATAATTGTATGACTTTCAGATACCACAAGACTTTAAATGCATTTAAAAAAATTACTCCCTGCCTGAATGGCAGACGACCAAATTCTTTATAGCAACCAGAGAGCTGAATTATTACAGAACAGATGGAAAAATACTTCTGAATTTTTAAGAAACTAGGAATTTACAGCCTAGATTTAAATTTATTTTGACTGAGATGTGAATAACAGACATTTTCAATCACATGCTCTTTATAGACAGGTGACCCATTGCCTGTTTTCATTGATATTGAAGTCAATATCTGTGTCTTCCTGAAATGACATTTCATCACACTTCATCACCAAGAAAAGTCTTTTCCTTGCTACCCTGTTTATTTTTTCACAGCTTTGGCTATAAAATTTCATCAGCTGTTTTTCCAAAAACTGTTTTGTACCTTATGTGGAGCTATTTGCTATAAAATGTTACATTTCCCCAAAATACAATATTCTTTCTGATTGTCTAAATCTCTGGGAAAAAGCCTATTCTGGCAGCTGGGGGGGAGGTTAGTAGATGGGTGGGTTTTATTTCTCTGGCTGTGAGTGAGACCAGCCCTGAAGAGCTGCCTAGAAAGCCTGTACAAGGAAAGGTTTGTTAGCATCCTGCAGGGATTCGCCGTGTTAGAGGACAGCGGAGGGACAAGCGCATGGGGCAGCACTGCAGCACAGACCATCCTCCCAGAGGACAACAAGGCCATGGCCCCCTTTGAGCAGCTCAAGGGACAGTTTGTCCCTCTGTGCAAGCAAAACAGCTCCCACCTGGGGAGGTGGCCCCAGCCCAGATCAGCCAGCACCTTGCAAGCTCCTGCCAGGTGGGGTGGGCAGCCAGAGTCACACGTGTGGAGTGACAGTTTCCATTACGGGGCATCGGTTCCCCTGCTGCCCTAGAAGTCAATACTAATGATGACAAATAAGCAGTCAGGATTTGGACACATTGGGAATGAGATTGCACAGACAGCCTTAAAAGTGTCCTGTTTATTCACCTGTCCTATGATACAGGCTTGGATTTCAAGGTTATATACACTTGATATACATATACACATATATATATATATATATATATATACTTATACATATACATACATATACATATACATATATACATATATGTATATGTATATATATACTATATATATATATATATACTATGTATATGTATACTATATACATATATATATATATATATATATATACTTGATATACATATACACATATATATATACTCCTGTCAAGGTTACCTGCCTCATTCGCTGTGAAACACTGATGGGATGTAGGAGGCTGTGTGCAGACTTGCTTGCATCATTTGCTGCGCAGAAGAAAGTTATTGCATGACACAAGAAGAAAAGGTGGGAAAGACCTTGGACTGTGTTTCCCTTTGCCAGCTGACCTCCCCTCTCACCCTCAGTGACTGGGCTTGTGTTATGCTGAGTCTCCTCACCCACAGCCAAGTGCGCAGAGCCACGGACCCCAAAATGTGCCCAGAAGCTCTGTGCTTCTCTGGTGTAGGTTTAATGGCAACATTCTGTCCAGCCATCAGAAGTCCACATGGCAGGACCAGGCTGGCTTGGACACTCATCTTAATGCACATTTTTGGGGGGCTGGAGATGGTTCTATCTCCAGCAGCAAAAGCTCTCATTGCCAGGAGGTGCCTCTGCCCTCCTGTCTGGAAAGACAATGGCCCATGGGGATGGGGTGAATCCCAGCCTTTTCTAGGAATTGTATTTCAGGACAAGGGAAAACTGGTACAGGGGAAGAGGGAGCCATAAAAATGAGAACCTGCATCTAAGTGGCTTAAGAAAAGTGCAGGGGGAGATTGTATTGTGGTTCATCATGTTTCTCTCCCTTGTATTTTATTATACAAGCTGGCAGAGATCTTCTTCAAAAATTTAAAAAAAAAAAAAAGTTACCTGGAAAATATTCTTCACCTTCTTTCATATTTTTTTTGTGGGTGATGACATAAATACCAGTCAGATGAATCCTGGCTCCTCTGAAGGGGTGTGCAGACTGCAGGAGTCAGCAGAGTCCTCCCCATCCCCAGGCTCTGCATACTCAAACAAACTTGTAGCCAGCATCAATGGCACAAAGGCCCACTCTCTCTGCATCTAATGCATGGTGACTTGTTCCTACCCGAAATCCCTGATCAGTTTTCTCTGATCACATTTCCATGATAGAAAGTCCATAAGAGTTGGGGGGGTTGGTTGTAGATCTTGTTTTAAAGCAACCACTTTTACATCTCATGCTGTGCATATTAAAACTTACCACATTTGATAGTCAAAAGCTGATTCAAATGCCTTACCACAAGGATTTCCCAATGAGCTCTGACAGATTTCCTCTGTCTCTCTTTCTCTTTCTCTCCACTGCTTTTTCTGACACTCATGCATATGTGCTTTCTACTGGCAGGCTCTCAGTCAGTCAGCTGGTTGGTTGGCTTTTCGATAGAGAAGACTCAATCCAAGAAAAGACGTCTTTAAGTGGAACACTTTGAGGTTTATGCTTCATTATATTCAGGGACTGCTCAGGGTTTCAGTGGCCAGGAAGTAGCTAAGCTATTGTTTGCTTAGTGTACTATCTCTTGCACTAATCAGGC